TTGGCTCTCTTCTTGGCCCCTGATCATGAGCCTGCTATTGGTTTTGGTTTTGGTGCCTCTGTCATCTCTGGTGACTGGTGAGAGATTTCCCACTCCTGTCCCTTTCCTAGCATCCTTTTTTAGCAGAATAGCCTGGATCTCTTCCTAAGGTAATGCAGGGCCAGGATTTGCTTGCACCCCCATTTAAACGGAAACTTCCAATACTGTCAGCCAAAATAAACTTTCTCTTTTTCGGGAGGTATAGCTCAGGGATGTGTTACAATAATGGAAAATTAACAGTTAAATTTGGCAGAAGCTAGGACAACTTACTAGTCTGAAAATCCCTACGTAAGGAAACATTTATCTTGCCTCTCTGTTATAAATGTCACATCAGAAAGTCCAAAGAGTTGATGAAGGTAACAGTATTTCCTTTTAGAGTTCCTATTCCTAAGTATAAGAAGAAATGATAGAATTGATACACCACCATTTTTTATATCCTAATGAAATAATCTAGAATGGCAATGACTATCAACAGCTAGATACTACAATCATTTCATCACATTTGGGAAACTTGTAATGGACGGGGCAAACATAAGACACCACCCAGCAGTTTTGAAGTCACAAAAAAGAAACCACAGACATTTTGTACTGCCTGATGAGTTGCAATTGGAAGTCCCATCACCTATGAAGTCTTAGGGGCAAAAGCTGAAAGTGAGGTCTTATCTAGCCTTTAAGCGTAACAACCAGTTTTGAAGTTTTTGAAGATTAAGTAAAGTCAGAGGTAGACTTCAAAATGAGCCAGTGGTAGGCAAGGTGTGCACCAAATAAGGCTGGCTACGCTTTTTTGTTTCTGTTTTTATGGGTACTGGGAATCAAACTCAGGACCTCATGCTTGCCAGGCAGGCACTGAGCTGCTGAGCTATATCCCTGGCCCTGTAACTGGCTATGTTGAGAATTGCCAGAGCTGGACAAGAAAAGCAGGGGAGTTCGTCATATCACACATACTTGTTTGTTTTATTTTATTAAGCACTTGGACTTAACACTTTTTCTATTTCTCAATTTCTTGCTTGCTCCAACCTGTCACAGAAAAATCTCAGTTCCACTTGTCAGTTATTTTATAAGGAGCTGTGTAAATACAAATGGGATATGGATTAGCTCTAGGCAAGAAACGGTTAAATACTGAGATAGGCTTGCTGAGGTCAGCCTTTTAAAGCATCTCAGCAACTCTGCAGGGGCAAGGATCATAATGAGTATTAATGACCAGTCGGCAAGCCTTTCAGTGGTTAAAAACAGCACAGCACCTCATCATTTAAGCCACTAAATTGAATTAATCTACACACCTTTTAACATCTGTCTCTTTCATCACTAAGATTCTTTCATTTTATGACAAAGACATAGTTCTAGAAGTTTCTCACACTGGAAAAGACTAGATTTGGGATGTGATCTTGAAGAACATAGGAGGTAAATGAGTACAGTGTCCATGACGGAGAAAAAGAGGTTCAGTGTTCCTGGAGAGTGAGAGAGATTGGGTCAAAGTGAAAGGATTCAAGGAGGAAATGGGAGGAAAATCAGCAGAGTCAGGAAGCACCAACCACAAAATTTTCCAAGAAGCAGGCAACCCTATTTGCAGCATGAGTGTCGTGGCTTGGTAAAAGATGAATTCCTGAAGGCTTTATTTAAGATCTATATAATCGGAGCTTATTTTTCTGATAAGAATAAATAGAAAGTATGTCTGTATTCTCAGAGTTCCTAAATCTGTAACTACTATGGTCAATGTTTTGCTTTAAAATTCCCTTTTGCCTCGGGCTACAGAGTTCTGGCTTCTAAATTTATAACATGAGATGTCAAGGCAGTTGCTTAAGGTTCTTTGTAGCACTTTACTAAACCTACTTGTGTTCCAAAATTATTAATGTGGAGCATATTTTCAAAGCCCTGGCACAAGTATTTAATGAATTCTTGGAGGATCCAATTTTTTAAGAAAATTATGATAAGACCAAAAGCAGCACTCACATAGTAATAAGCAAAATCCCTGCCATAATGTGTTTTGTCCTGAAACCATATAATTTACATCACTGACAAAATATGGCAGATGTCAGTTAAACTTGCCAAGTAGCAAGAGCACATACAGTTTACAATTTGGGACTCTAAATTGTGCGATTTTTCCCCCCTATACTTTAGAAAATTTGGAGCAGTACATGTAATTTCACACTTTGCTTGTAAGACAATACTTTTCTTTCACATTATTTCTGTATTTTTTTTTATTTTATTTTTTCTCCCATACAGGGGATTGAACCCAGGGCCATCTCACTAAACTACATCACCAGCACTTTTTATTTTATTTAGAGACCATGTCTTGTTAAGTTGCCAAATCGCTCAGGCTAAGATTGAATTTACAATCGTCTCATCAGCTTCCCAGTATGCTGGGATTACCTGTATCACAAGCACCCCCATGGTTTGTGATATGAAGATTTTGAGATATATTATACCTGTGGCTTCATAGATAATGAAGGAGGATGGTAAAGATAGTGAAAAATACACAGATCCAACTAGAAATGGCAAGATGGCACATGCGTGTAATCCCAGTACTCAGAGGCTAAAATAAGAGGATCATTGCAAATTCAAGGCCGGCCTGGGTTACTCAGTGAATTCAAAGCTGGCCTAGAATAGAGACCCTGTCTCAAACAAACAACTGGAAGTGGTCCTTTTATCTTTGGAACTCTAAAGCAATTATGGCACATCATTGGTCACATTATGCTGTTGTTCTGAATTGATATTTGTAACTTTTATTCCTTTTTTTATAGGCAGAGTCATCTCAAACCTCACCTCTGTACCCATCCTCTTGCCTGTCTCACCGTCAGCTTCTCCTCTCCACAGGTTGCCCACATGAGTACAGTCAGCGGTGTGTCGGTAAACATTAAAACTCAGTTCTTAAAAGAACTGCATTCTAACTTGCAGCAGCTAATTTCAAGATATCAATATGTAAGAGATGTGCAAATTTGCCTCTCACAAGCCACCATGAGCCACTGCACTATGGAAGTAGTTTTCAAATTTTAGGCTACAGCTCATGGGTGGGCCTTATAAACATGTCTGTGGATCATGAACAACATTTTTTAAAAAATGAAAACTAGATTGTTTTACACATAACAATGTTTTGTGAAATTTTTGTTTTTATAATTTTAAATAACAAGTCACAAATGTAGATATTCTTATTGTGGCTTTTTAAAAAGACTAAAAGCCACCAGTATTTCTCTTTGAAACAAAAACAAGAAAACTAAAAATCTCTTTACTCCACATCTTCCTTAGCTACAGTGCTCTGACTTCACAGCAAAAATTTCTGAAGTATTTATGGTCATTATCTCTCCCACTTCCTTGCCCTATATTTTCCCATTCCCTTCAGTTAGTCCCCAACAACCTCTAGTTGCTGCAGCGTGGCTCTTGCCCTTTTCTTGGCTTTTGTGACATCACTCTCAACAGGTAGCCATGGCTGCACCTTCCTAGTCTTTTTTACTGTTGCTTTTTTCTTCTTTATTGGCTCTTTATCTCCACAGGGCTCTGTCCTAGGTCTTTTTTCCCAACTATCCTAGGTGACCTTATACATTCCCATAACTTACCATTTTCCTTCATCTACTATATTGATGGCTTTAGTTTCTTGAATATACTCTCACTTCCAAGAACCTTAAGAACTTTGCATTAGCTGTCTCTTCCACTTTGGAATGCTGACAGCACTCATATGTATTTATTTCAACTTATTTTGACATTGCAAAAGAAGACCTAGGTAAAAGCAGGCAAAATTGCAAAGACATTCAATAGCTCTTCACTTTACCAATAACCTATCAGCCTAGTATTTCATGCAACACATTCCAGTAGACCTCATAGATTGTGTAAGGCTGGTTCCTTTCATCAATTTACAATCCAGGGCCAGGGAGATAGCTCAGTAGAATATAGTGCTTGCCTGGCAAGCACAGGGTCCTGAATTCAATCCCCAGTATCGCACCAAAAAAAAAAAAAAAAAAAAAATTACAATCCAGTGGAATAGATAGAACACACAGTCCAAGGCAGTGTGTATCAAGGGTTAAGTTCAGCTACTCAACTAGATCTTGAAGAATGAGTCAAATTTAGAAAATGGATAAAGAGAATAAGGAAGCTATAATGGATAAAAACATGAATATACTGATATTCAATTTATATAAAAAATAGAAATAAAAGCCAAAGAGGAGAAAGCCCATTGTGTTGACACCAAAACATGACTTTCAAAACAAGGTTGAATATAAAGGTAAAACAAGTAGTAACTCTTGGTGTCCCTTTTACGAAATAACACAGCACACCAGCCACTGAAAGAAGCCCATGTGCCTTTATTTGTATTTCTCTGTTTTTACAACTAATGGATCAAACTATCGGCCAAATGTGGCGATAACTTAATGAAAAGTTGGGAGTTGAGCATCTAATTTGTTCAAAATCGTGTCATATAGTTTAAATTGTTTCCTAAGGCAGTATCCAACTTAGAAAACTCCAAGCACACGAGAGAACTGGCGATTTAGGAACCCAGCGGCCGCCAGTCCGGCTCTCAGTAACCGGACAGGGGTCCTGGGGTCGGGAGGGTCTGGCTGTGCTGAACCCACTTTCCCCGGGCTCGGGTGGGCGTCGGCGAAGCGGAGCCGCCACGTGGCGGTCGGGTCGCCTCGCGCGGCGCTGTGGACTCTGATCCTAAGCAGACTAGGACGCGAACAATGAAAACCCGGCCGCCGCCGGTTCGGGCGGGCCCCGGGGAGTCGTCGCTGCCACAGCGCAGAGGCCGGGACGACCGGCGGGCGGAGGGCGCCTGCCGCGGAGCGCACTGCCTTTTCCTTGCAGTCCTTCCCAGCCCTTCCCCGCCACTGGGCGGAGTGTGCGCCCTCGCTGCGCCCCTCTCTGCTCATCCCACAGGAGGCCGGCCGGTCGGAGGCTGTGCGGGACGCTGACCCTGGCGGCGCGCAGCGCCCCGCCCCGAGGGCCGCACGCAGCCACGACGGCGCTCTAGGTCCAGCCGCGGCCGCCAGCGGGTCCAGGGAGCGCGAAATCGGAAATGGGCGGGAATTGACTTCCTGTGCTTCCCGTAGGCGCCAGGGACCCGGAGCCGGACCCGGAGCCGGACCCGCACTTCTCGCGGACGAACAGCTCCCGCAACCTCAGCCCCGGGTGAGTCGGCGACGCAGGCCTCGGTGGCGGCAGTGGCCAGGGGCGAGTGACTGCCCTGGTGGCCGTGCCGGCCGAGGAGGGATCGGGATGTGTGGTGAATGGGACCAGGAGTTCAGGCGTCCTGCCTGGCGGCGGGGAGGCGGAGACTGCCGACGGGGCCAGGAAAGCGAGGGCGCCGGGGGTCGTGGGGCTCCCTGGACAGCCCGCCCGCAGAAGGTTGGGGGGTCTCCCCGCTGCTCGTCCTCCCGCTCCCATTCCCCGGCGGCTCTCTACCGCTCGCTCCTAGCCCTGATTGCCAAACGGAGGACGGGACCAGTTTCTTGCAGGCCTTTCCAGGGACGGACGGACTTCTGTTGCTCTCGGGGACTCTGAGCGCCTGGCTTAAGGCGCTGAGTCACGACCGCAGTGCGGAGCGTCCCCCAGCAAGCCCCGAAGTCCCGGTGACTACGGCCCAGACGATGAGCGCTTGGGAAACCAAGTGCTGTGACAGCTAGATCCGTCTGGGTGCCTCGGGGGCGGACTGCGGGATCCCACAGGACTTAAACTGGACCCGTCTGGTCGAGACGTTATAAATTATGAATGTGGCCATGGCAGCCCAGTATTCCATTCTTTTTGCTCTTGTTTCTGTTTCCAGAATTTCACCGCGCTGAACGAAAATTATTGAGGCTTTGATTAACACGTGAGTTAGTGGGATAGACTGGGGTTACATTTAGGTGGTAAACCGAGAGGGTGCATTTTTTTTTTCCACCAATAAAGAAAAAATAATAGATCTGGTTAATGCACATTGCTATGCAGCTTGAGAGGATTGCCGGAAGTAAGATAAAGGAAGCTCCAGTTTCATTTCTCTTTTACTGCTGCGTAGAGTGAAGTCTTCCCTAAGCTAATTAATGTAGTGTTCTGGGAATTTTTATCTTTAAAAATGTGTTTGGTGGGGCTGGGGAGATGGCTCAGTGGAATAAGCGCTTCCCTGGCAAGCGCAAGGACCTGAGTTCAATCCCCGGTTCCGCAAAAAAAAAAAAAAAAAAAAAGGAATGTTTGATGTATTCCCTTCCCCCTTTTAGCAGCAAAGAAAGTAGTATTTTATTATTATCCAAAGGATTGGATTTTCTCCCCTTTGATTTATTTGGAGGAGGAAGAGCAAGCCCCTCTATTAATATCGTCAACACAAAGTAAGCTCTGTTCTACTATTTTGGCTCATTAGAACAAACCCAACATACTCATCATGTGAAGACTGTTATTAGACTCATTTTACAGACATGCAATATTAAATGAGTACTTCTGATAGCTGTACAGGACTGTTCAATTAGTATTTGTCATCATTTTATTTTAGATTTTGTGTGCGAACCTAAGATTCCGGAATGTTAAGCACATACTCACCACTGAGCTGTACTCCTAGCCTAGTATATAGTATTTTCAACAATAATCCTGTGTTAGAGATCTTCTACTGATGTGTTTTTATAATATTTTCTGCTCTCATACTCCAAAATTATTTACTATATGAGTGAAAACTAGTAAGAATGTGGGTTAGATCTTTGTAATAACATTCTATTATTTGTCAACATAATTTAAACAAAAATTATGAAGAAAAATAATGCATGGTTTTCATTTTGATTTTACACAGGGGAGTACTTCAGTTGCAAGCTGGATAACCTTTAAATGAAACACAGTTAAAATCTTATTCACTGAAGAGAGATTCCTATCAACAAAGTCCACATTAAATTGGAAAAGAATTATGTTGTCTTTAAACAACCTGCAAAATGTCATCCATAACCCGGTAACTGATTTCTGTAAAATCATTTTACCTCTATGACTAGATTAAGAGTAAATTTAATTGAATAGTGACTATCCATTGGGTGATTGGGCAAGAATAAAATTCAATGAATATTTGTAAAGTACCTGCTGTATACTAGGGACTGTGTTGGATGCTGCCTGAAAATAGATGTTGCTCTTGTCCCCTGGAGGAGAAAGAGGCACAATAACAATATGTGGTGATAACAGAGTTAAAACAGAAAAAGTGGCGTGCATAGAAGGAATGCCAGGTTTTGGTAGTGGTAGCGAGGGGGCTCTGCTGTACAACATCATTTTGAAAGGAAAATAGATTTCTTACTCTACAAGTTTTTACTTTCTTTTTAAAATTAGAACTGTCTGTGAGAACTTAACATTTCAGCTTTTCTCTCTACATTTCATATACTTCTTAGTACTCGAGCTAGAAATATTCAGCACCAGTGGTGGGCTGGAGCATGAGAAGTAAGAGTCTTGTCCAGCTTGGGCAGGTCCAAGATCTCCTGAGTGACTGTAATTGCTGGAAATGCGAATGACTGTCCTGGGCAGTAAGGAGTTTGTTTTAGTTTTATTTGGTGATGGAATTTGGAAATGTCTGGTTCCATCTCAAGCTGCATTTAGGTTTGAGGTAGGGCAACTGCTTTTATGGTAAACCCTGTGGGAGACTTGGTCATTAAGGCTGGCAAGAATTTTGTGAATAAGGCCCTAGGCTAGTCTTGTTAGTGTGTGGGCTCAGACTTTTATTAATTATTTTATAGCTATAATACCTTTTCTCTATATTTTAATGTCATTGTGTAAGAACAAGGTGTAACCAAGTAGGAAGATGGAGAGTTTGAGGTCAGCCTGGGCTACATAGTAAGACTACCTCAAAAAGAAAAAAAAAAAAAGAAAAAGAAAAAACAAAGGAGAGGGGGATGAGGTACAACCGTCATATCAAGTCAGTGCTGGAGTAATAGGTTTTAAAAGGAAGCCGTACTCTATTTGACACCAGTGAAGTATTTTAAATGATTTTCTGCATAATACTGGTATAGTTTTAAAAAAATGTCATGATTGTAGAATGATTGTTTTTCAGATTAAGAAACCAAATCAGGATACCTTCCAAGGGAGAGTGAAGTATGTCACTTTGGCTTAAGCTGGAGAGCAAAGGGAATGGAATGTCCAGGTTACACTGCCCACTCCTGCTCTTTGTAAGGAAAGATACCTTACTTAAGTGTTAGGAAAGGTTGGGGAGATAGTTCAGGGGTCTAAGCGCCTGCCTGGCAAGCACAAGGACCTAGGTTCCATCCTTGGTACCACGTGCAGTGCCTGCCCAGTGCCATGCCAGCCCAGTGCTGAGCCTGCCGCCGAAATCAGGTGTGGTGGTGCACCCCTGTAATCCCAGCGCTGGGAGTCTCACTACATGTCTGAGCTGTGTATTAAGATCCCATACTAAATAAATAAATAAAAAATCTTAAAGAATTAAATGTTAGAAAAAAAATTTATAGACTGAAAGCCCTGCATGTCTTGATTCTAGCATGTGGTGCTTCCTCTGATGTCTGGGGTCAGCACCCTTGACTTCAGAGTTGGAACAAAAATAAGTTGGCTTCCTTAAGGAGGGAGAGTGCAGAGAAGTGTCGCTGCGGAGACCAGGAAATGCTGCCGTCTTCCTGGACGCTGCTGTGAGATGTGGCGGTGCAGCCATGTGGATGAGCCACGGCCATTGCCTGGCCAATGTGCTCTCTGTGAAAGCCTGAGAGAGTGTCTTCTC